TATATATCTTACGGAGTAGACGTAATACGTTATTCCAACACCAAAACAACCATGCAAGCACAATACCGATGAGCTAAACGTAAACTATGTTTCCTAATTAACAAGATTACCAATAAAACTGCCCTAATAATAATCACATAATAATGCAACGGATTAATTACTTTTGTAATTATGGAAGTATGAATCATCTTTACGCAAACATTTCATACCAATCTAACGATTACAATGAAAAAAATATCATTGAATTTATATCTAAACAGAAACCCCCGTTTACACACCGCTGCAAGCTAGTGTATATGACGAATTAGGCAACCAGGCTATATAGATACACATTCGTCATAAAACAAAGCTAGGCGATTGCCAGAGTCATAACATAAACGGTAAATGATGGCCCCGGATGTTATTTTCACGGTGGAAACGGTGTAAGCTCTTACAAGGCTTCGCGGCTTGACACATCAACCGCGAGTCGTACTACAGAATCATATCCTAGCGACGGCTATATAGAACTATAATATAGGCTATAAAGAACGTATTATAGAATCGTTATGGTAAGTCCCATACGTACCAAGGAGCTACATATAACTCATATATATATATATATATATATATTATACAATATGTAGCTCCTTGATACGTACTAGAGTGAGACCACTGGTGAGACCACCGTGGCGCCATCTATTATGCTAGGATTTATCGGTTTACTCCAAACTCTAATCATACTACACACTTCAGTTACATTCACACTTCCAGGTTATTCGCATGATTGTTATCATATATCAACCGCTGCACGAAAGGGAATTCTTGAACAATTAAGAATTTTATTCTGATTTTCGAACCTGATAACCACTACACAACGAAACCGTCCATCACAAATTGGAAAAATTAATACTTAATTGTATTATGCTTCTCGCCGGTATGAATAAAAGAAAGGATTGATTACGATTACATGTTGGCATCAGCTATTGCTAATTACAATTGCATTGATTGGTAGACGATTGATTTGGTGGAAGATTGAATATGTAGTAACCGAATTAATAGCTTAACCTACATAATATTATTATTAACACCATAGTAAATACACACCCTGTAGTAGATATGCAAAATATAACAATGGAATCACTCAACAAGTGTTTCAGAAGTATTACCACAGCAAACTTGCAACTGCATAAAAAAGCAAAATACATCTTCACAACCGTTTAATCCATTTTCCACTGCCATAGTTATATAATCATGATTATAATAGGATTAGATAGCATAGATAAGGTCTTATCTACTCCTGATTATTTGGCAGTCAAAATACACTCCGAAGAATAAGAAACTCAACAACAACTGCTGTCAAATACAACCAGAATTCAGCAGTCAATAATTCTCAGACCATTACATTTAACCACCCCACATCCCTAAACTTTTTATGAAAAAAATGCTTTATTACGAATATGGATAAACTGTAAAATTGTTAACAACTGCGTGAACATTCATACAGACACTGAAGCCCTATAGACAACAAACGTATTGCGACGATGACACCAATTTGTAGAAGGCCGGTAACAGTATATATGCGCTCAAATACCAGACCGTCAGGGTTTTTAGACGTAGACGTTGTACACCTCCGACACGTATATCTAAACGTTACCTTATTTATTTCCAGCTAAAACCTCAACTATCAACAATACAAGTGAACACCCAATTAATTCAGAATAATTAGGAATAAATCTAATCAGTTAATTAGATGGTGAGCAGTAAACAATTGCCGACCAGAGTTAATGAACTGTTTACACGTCTCATGACATGTTCTGATCATTGCAGTTATTTTTTTCAAGTCGGCGTGTTATAATATCATTTGACAAATCATTCTGAATGCATTCTTCTTCGCATCGCAGAATATATGGCCTGTCATCATATATAGAATTTGCTAACAAAAACACAAAAACGGCGCATTTAACTGATGTTTCTGTTAGCAGAAACCCAACTCATCATGTCAACATGAGGACCAGTGTTTAGATAAGATATTCACAGTTTGGTGCATACATACTATAGTCACACACTGCTAAGTAACAAGTGCATGATCAAGTAACAAGTGAAGAATAGTAACGGCGATATATAATTGCCACGAGTTTGACGACATGATTTCTTACAATAACAAATAGGAAATCAATTGAGAACAATCTAGAAAAGACAACATTGGGCAATCAGCAATCACACTGTTTCGTGACGGATTAGCAGGACTTTGCCCTTCCTATCAATATGCCATCAAGAGTGAATACAAATACATTATTGTTCTATAATAAAACAATTTGTTTTTATTCATTCCTAGTGCCATATTTTATGTTAGCTGCACGTGAAGTTAGGGCATTTAATGGTAATGTTTACCACAGCGGTATAGTTACTGACAACCTGACAGAACTGTGCAGACATTTCAACGATGACTGGCAATAGTAAAATCCCCAAGTAAGATTTACTGGCCAATGTCAGCTAGTAGCAGTAAGCTTATGCAGTTCTGGCTGAATGTCAAGAAATGCTCACCACATAGCAAAGCTCATATAGGGTCTATGTCCCCCAGGGTACTACCGGAACGTACCCTGGTCACTATTTGATATGGTTAGGGTTAGGGTTAGGGTTAGGGAGTAGGCGTAGGCGACTCCCTATACTCGTTAGTGGAGTAGGCGAGGTACGGTCCGGCATATTAGATAGTACCAGGGTACGTTCCGGTATAGGGCCTACCGGACCGTATCCAGGGTACATTCCGGCAGTACTCCGGGGGACATAGACCCTCTCAGCCATAGCAAACACCGTGAATATATATATGTATACTCTCAATATAGTCTACACGTGTCCATGCGCACACCTAGATTATGATGTACGTTTTAGTTGGTGAGCATGACATTCTTGAAGAATGTATTTATACAAGGAGTATAAACATCTGCCAATAAATGGCCTAGCAGCAACATTTCAACTTTTAAGAATTACAGCCCTGGTTTAACAACTAGTTAGACATTTAATCAGTTAACGGTTAACAATTATAACTATATTAATGCTATTTAAGAGCATCCCCTGCTCTACATTGGCCATTAATAACACTGGTACCTTTGGCACACACACGCGTGCACGCACGTACTCACGCACACACATACGCACAGGCAACAACAAGAGGGAGCACACCGCGCGTATACCATTATCACTATCGCCCTAACGACCGTGATTTTCATCTCACACATCACTGTCGATCAAGCCACACACTATCGATTGGATAACAATACACGCAACGTTGTGCACGGCTGCTATGAAGCCATGATTAGTTGCCATGCAGAATATAGTTAGTCATTGTGCTCAACACATCATACACCAGACCTACTTCATCCCTACAGTCTGAGAAAAAAACGTCACTCGTTGTCAAAACCGTCTCTGTTTCTAACTGGGATTCAAATTCGTCCCTGAATACTCCTGATATACTGTCTGCAAAAATAGTTTACATAGGAATATATGTTTAGTAAAAAACACACTAACACTCTCGGATAACGTTAGAAAACACAAATACTTATTATTAAGTAAAGATCCAGAGACTAAACAATCTTTCAAAAAATAGTCTTGTAACTATACCTACTTCTATAGTTTGTGAATTGAAAAAACAACGTTCACAAAGCACCATATATAGTAAAATGTCACATATAGGTGAGCAATGTATTACGTGTATACAAAAACGCTAGTCTTCAAACGTCACACGCATTATTGCTTTTTAGTAAAAAAAATCTACAAAAATGAAGTTAGTAAATACAAATATGAAGTTATGGTACTCATTAGCACATCTACTAATTATTGCATTGTGATTACTATAAGTACAGATCTTGATTACAAAATTCAATAGCTCACAGTTATTTCTCTCACGCGATCGTTTCCTGCCAACTTTAACATGTTAGGACGACAACACTAGTCAACGTGAAAGTTTATGCATTGATTGCAATCAATATAAACAGTTTACTTTGGTCACTTGTGTTTTTTCTTGTCTGCCCAAGGTGACTTGACTGCACTTGCTTCAAATCTTTTGGATGACCTAGGAACCTTGAGAATCTACAAGTCAGAACGTTCCCCTCTCCAAGCAATACGAATTTCCAAGGTCCCACTGTTTATAGTAGTGCAATATAAATCTTAAATCGAGCTCCGTGGGAGGGTACACCACAAAGCCATGATTTGTTTGATATCTACAAGTAACAAGGTTTACGCTTAGATCGTTATACTTCTTTTGATCTATCTCCCATCACAGAATCGCCCCGGTTTAATGGCATGGTACGATTGCAAGAACTGATCCCGTGTAAAGATATTACAGTGCTCTGCTGATAGTAGATATTCCACGCACTGATATATGGCTGAAATGGCGCAATCTGACACAATAACACAATTCAGTACCACAATGCAAAAGTGTCAAAAACATGACAAAATTAGAGACTAAAGATTCGTTTGTGGACTTATTGGTTACTATACTTTGAAATACACCACACCACTGAGTAAATTTAGACAGTTGCACTGTTGCATCGCAATAAGAGATTCTCTAAACAAATATTACTTTCAGCTATTGAATACGTAATTTTAGAACACAGAAATTATCACTCCACACGTGAGAGTCCTTCATCACAGTTTATAAATCATGAACAATGCTAACCGGGTACAAACGCACTGACGTTTTAGGCTATCTAGAAACACAGCCATGAGCTATACACACAGGCTTATGGAGATTCTGAATTCTGCCACATTCTATATTGCACACAAGATCCGAGTCTTTTCACAGAGTTCTTTGATCGAGTTTTCGGTTTTGAATGGCAGCCTTTGTGCAAAATCCTTACATTAATTATTCACACACGATCATTGTTGGGAACATTAGGGATAGCAGGTTCACTGGAATACTAAAGCATTTTACTCTTACACAAGAAATAAACCAAAAATTCTAACTCCCGGTAAATGCCGCTGCACGACAGAACTCAATAACGTCAACAACAGAATAATTATGCTCCAGTTCGCAATGTTAATGTAAAAATGCTATCAAAAGCGCAACAGCAGATCTGTCATGCGGCATGAATGAGCCAAGCAATTGCATCGATACGACGAGCAATTTTCCACATTTCATTTTACGTTTTCACACAATTACTTGCATTATCACATGCTCACCCAGCTATGGTGTAGAAAATACACTTGGTACAGCCATTGTCTGCTATGATATCGCTCTGGAGATTCAAACACACAGATCTATGGTCCTTTCCTATCCATCTATTCAGATTAGGAATGAGCCATCGTTTCAGATATGAGAAGACATCACTTTAAGCCAGTTCACTGTCTATGTCTTCAATATTCTTAGACAATTCCTGAGTATATTGAGTTTTATTTCTCCTGAAAAAACAACAACGAAAGATTTACTGGATGCTCATTATTTACCACTGACCGTATACCTTAATATGCTAATGTTTTTTATTATGTCCCTATATTCACAACGTAAACACCATTATATCCGCATTGAGAACATTTGACAATCATCACATTTAGTGAACAGTAAGACCAAAAATTAGATGAATATAGATAAAATTCTAGATAATATAAATCGATGTAAGCCACCGTTATTTCTATCATATATGCAGGCTACTCATAGGGATGCACGTATTACTTACTTTTTGTAAGTACAGTAGCAGTAGGTGACAACACCTATGATTGCGACAATACCAGTGACTATGGCACCAACTATTGGGCCTGTATGGTCCACCTGCCTGATCGCATGTGGGTTCTGCTGATCTGAAGAAAGATATTCAACAATATACAATCATGAGTAAATAATACAGTAAAACTCACATAAGTGGTCGTCGTCTAACTCGTCAATTCGCATGGAAGTCAAAGTCCAGATTTTCTCACATAGTAAATCCATTGGAATTGCCCCGCCTAAGTCGTCATTTATAAGTCGTCATTATGCACAAGTCGCCGCCCTCAGACAGGTCACATGTAATACAAACAACAGTAATTTTCCATCTGTAAGTCATCATCAGAAATGCCGATGGCGTGCGCGCCGCAGTGTACGATCTAGGGGATGTGTGAGCTGGCTGTCGCAGATATGCGCTACAGTTTGTTCAAGAGCACGGCCTTGCGGAATTACCGTATTTTTTCACAAAGTGTTCCAAGAAAATTTGGCAGACGTGCACCGCAATGTCCTGCAATGTCCAAACGTGTAATCAACAGCGGGTGTTACAGATAGCCAGCGTGTGCCGCTAGTGCGTACAATCAGTGCGTTATGGCCAGCAGCGGTGTCGAATGATGTACGGACCCAATTGTTTCATGTCTGCTATGTATGTGGCGCGAACTGATGGGCGCCTGGGATGGGAGCCCTACATATAAGTCGACAAAATGACGACTTACGCGTATGTCGTCATTTTCGTAAGTCGGCACAAATATGCTGGTCCCAAAAGTGTCGACTTATGCGAGTTTTAGTGTACATCTTTAATTTCAAATTCTTTCTCTCTCTCTCTCACTCACAGACTCCTTCAGGCTCTACATCGCTCTCTCTCTCTCTCTTGGTCTATTACCCAATGCGTAACACATACCTTCTTTGATTAAAATCACATTAGTTAAGGAATGAAAAGTGATTAGAATGAAAGAGCCGACCGGCAGAATTACCTGGCAACCAATTACACCTGTAACCGGCAGAGCCAGAACAACTCAGCCAGAAGTCCATGCAGTCGTCCGTGCTGGTGTAGGTGAGATTGCTGCACTTACGGATGTCTCTCTCCTGTCCAGTACAGCCAGCCTAATGTAAAGAGCCAGCCATCGATATTTTGGGGTCAAAATTACGAACAAACTGCTACAATCCACGCGTAAAATTGACAGCCGAAATCTACTTTCCGTGTCACAGTTTTGTTTTTGTTTTGTTTTGTTTTTTTAGTTGTTTTTTTTGGGGGGGGGAACACGATTAGCAAGGTGTACGGCGGCTATTCACAGCCGCAGGTTCTTGTGCCATCTTGCACTGGGGCGACAGACAGGGGGGCTTGGCAAGGCTAGACAGCAAAATTCTGAAGGAATAGGTGATAAAATGTTCCATACTCCTCCCCAGTCATATAGCATGTGAAGTGGACTCACCTTAATCATGAGTTTTGGCCCATTGTTCCTCAGCTCTATGTTGTCTCTGGTAGTCTGCCACTCATACTTACTGCTACAGCCGGCAGATTTGCAAACGACCTTCAACAATGCATCCATCTGATCTGCAACACAGCGCATATAATAAAAACATTTATATAATACTTAACTTCATTATATAACTTGTACCTTATAATTATATAATTACTGACACTGTTATAGAATTTATTTACATATCATTTTTAAAGAAACATGGACAAAAGCCGATTTTAGCATTAGTAAGATGAAATGTTAGGAGCGGTAGGAAATACAAAACACTTAATTCCCAAAAATCGAACTTTCTCCTACCTATCCTAGGTAAATGAGTAGTACGCTTACAATATGTCAGAACGTGTGATTCACAGCTTGTTTTGGCAAGTTTCATGACACATTACGATCACTCAAACTCTCAGAAAATGTGTAGAATAAAGAAGACATATCGGTTGACCATTTATAATCACACAAAACATCGCTCAGAAACTATTTGTAAGGATTGACACTACATGAGTGTGCAGGGTTTCTTCTGAGGGAAAATTAGACAAAGGAGGTAATGGCCAGTTTGGGAAAAAAACGCACATTATTGATTCAAAGGCGTGCCGTAGGCATGCATGCGGATGATGCAGGTGGGGTAAATATGCCAGAAGCATGTGGTGATCGATCTATTTATTTTTAGGTTGACACTATTTTGACAATGACGGGTAAATACAGAAACATTTTCACAACAGCGATGTTAAATATGGCAACGGCAGTGCGCCACTGTGCTTCTTATGTAGAAGAAACCCTGGTGTGCGACTTTTACATGCATTCAGCTGGTTCTACTACAGAGTGATTAATCAGCAATTAATCTCCAATGTACTAAGCACATCAGAAAAATCTCAATTTCATACTTGTAATTAATGTTTATATTCAATTAATATCTTTTTGAAAAAATCAAGGCTCAGGACAAGGCTCTTATTACAACATGGTAATCACTAATCAGGTCTTAATTGCAAAATTAATCATGTCAAAGTCATTATAATGCTGTATACCAGACCCATGTAAATAGTGGGACAGAGCTTGGGACAGAGGTAGGGGATTGATGGAGAAATATAATTAAAATAGCATTTTTACGATTATGTCAAAAATAATGTATTCATTACATATTGATATATATATATGCATATGCTGGTACTATCAATCAAGATGGAAGTATATTAAATACACCTGAAGATATAATTAGTATTTTAGATCAGAATTTATTTTTTCCTTCGGAGCGATAATAACTAAAGTGACAACCACATCACATATAATAGAGGTGCCATCTATATATCCTCAAACACAGAACAGATAACATTGAGCAATAGATTCAGGCACTAACCTGGGACGTATACGTGTGGAAGACACACGGTTTGCCACTGCTCCTTGTGGTATGTCATGACGTAACCTTTGGCTTTGTGCTGCATATCCTTCACCTCCCAATGCCGTGTGTGTTTATCATCTTGTACAACATGTATGTTTGCTAGCGAACAAATAAAACCAATAATGTAATGCAGGGATAGCGAGAGAACAGCGCCTCATAACATCCGATTCACTAAATGACCAACTTTTCAACTATCATGGCAACTGAGAAAGGTTTGTGATTCTTCCCTTGGTTAACTATTCAATGTGTGCCACTACCACAGAGCTTTCAGCATTACATTCAGTTAAATAAGGTTTCAATAATGCTATACACACCGAAGTCTGAGCAAGCTAATAATGTCTGAGCAACATATACACGTTATCAGTAGAGCATATAGTATCGCATTCTACAGCTATTATGTGCAAGTGTGTGATCTTGTGAATAGCCAAATGTTCACTCACGGGCACACGTAAGACCAACGCCCTCTGATGCCAAACACGAGCTGTTTCCCCATTCGCTGTGCTTGCACATGCTCAACTTGTCAGCAAGTCCACCTGTTGGCAAACGCAATGCCATTATACCTTATATTCACGTTTATAAGACTACTTTCGAGTTATGTTACTATTCAAACCTGAAACGAAATGTCAAAGGTGGCTTTTATAGTAGGGGTGGGATGATTCATCGATATATTGATGTATAATGATACAAACCTCGACAATATATGTATAAATATGTCTGAGTATTTACGATACACGTATTGATACTTTACTGAATAAAATCCATATCATTTGGTAGCATAATTTTATCAGAAAAAAACAAGACGCAATTCACGCTATGTTCAATAGCAGTTGTTCATTTTAAAAGCACTCCACGATACAGATTTGTAAGCATTCACATGATTGGTACAGAACCGGTGAAGTGTATATAGTTTGCTAGGTAGTTTCGCCTGAAAGTATTGCGATATGTATTGTATCGTTAAAAGTGTATCATGATATGGATCGTATCATGAGCTACCCCCATCTTTCCACTCATACTTTATAGATAGGTAAACTGTTCTATAGAGGTAGTTTAATGGTATAACTGCCATGCAAGAATAACACCAAATGCCATTTTGAACAACAAAAAGCAGCAGCAACTTTTTTACTCAATAGTCAGGCCACAATTAAAAAGATCTTTGCTTGCCGTCAGCCGACCCTAGCTGAAAGGTTTGGGTAGGTAGGTAAGCTTTTTTTCTTTTCTTTTTGAGGGGGGGTCTCTTTACAAATTCAGCATGGTGTCTACATGCTCGGGTGTGCTTGTGTGGAAAAATATATTTAATGTTGAATGTTTATTGTGCTTGGTACATATAATGTATTGCCTACAGATTTATATAATGTACAGTGATCCAATTTGTGAGAAAAAAAAAAGACTGGGAAAGATCAATAAAAAAATTTTAGTCGGCCCCTTTTTGGCAGGTCGGTCAGGTGAGTGCAAACAAACAATATTTTTATTATGGCCTCGTAAAAATTTATTTGCACAGCCATACCTGATAAATAGGAGCAGCCCAACCGTTCCACTTCAAGAATTTCAGACGGGTTTTTGTCCCCAATATTATATGACCACGCAAACCCACCCAGTGGGTAGCCAAGTTCATTTTTGCAAACAACACCTGTAACAGAGAAATGACATCAATTACATATAACAATCTGACTATATCAGATGTTTGATCTTTACTGTCGCGACTCACATTTATTATAAATATAAATGGTGAAACCAGAAATAAATCTTGACAATCAAGTTTAAGAACTGTTGAAAGTGAATGAAAATACTACTGATAGATAAGAAACTTGCCAACTTTGCTTCTGCAAACTAGTAAAGCCTAAACACAATAGCATATATGTGCACATACGTATCTCATTATCAGCAAACTCTTCACTACACACATAGCCATGCACGTTCTCATGACTTATTTGTAGACGTCCATGATTTCTCGAGGGACCATCTAGCCAGACTTCGTCATGATCTGCATCTGGTTAAAATGTTGTCAAGTAATCAGTTGCGGGGAAATTATGCTAAGATGCCACTCAGTCTGGATGCCAATAGTATTTATTTACTGTTAAATAAACAATAGCTGGTTCTTAACCAGAATTCTACTCTGCATATGTCTATGCAAACTATACTATATTATACCTTCATTTTTTCAAGTGATAGTTATGAAATCTAGGGATGTATAATTACATCTCGCACACACAGGTGTATACATGCACGCAAGCATGCATGCACACACACACGCACACACACCTTGTTCTGCCCTCTGTCACTTCTACCTCTCTCCTCCACTTTCTTCATGTGCCTTCTCCCCCTCCTTTAACCTCGACACCCCACCCTCAGTATCTCGCCTCTCCCCCTACTCCACTATCAATCTCTATATCACGTCCTACCTGTCTCTCCTCGCCAAAACACTTTGCCACTTCCCTTCTTATTTTCTCCATCTTCTCCCCGTCCCTTCGCCACTGCCTGCAACCACTCCACACATCCTTTCCCCCTTCCACCCCACTCCTCACCATCAACAAACCAGTTATACCATAGAAGTAGCATAAACTTGACTCTATAAATGATCTATGTGTTCAGAGACATAAAAACATCTACCTCAGAGAATTTCCTAAGATAAGAATGCGATAAAAAATTACGTGTACATGCATTACGTTTTTAAGGCCAAAACAAAATATAGGTGTGGTTACCGTTTCCCGACCGACCCTAAAACATCTTTAATCCGTCAATTATCTTTTAAAGCCTCACAATGCGCAACGCCAAACGTAAACTGTCTCCCAGGTACTTAGACTAGCAACTACTTTGTGAGCAGCATAAATTATCCACAGCTACCTTATGAACAAAATAAACTCCTACGTTCCCTCCATTTGACTGCGCTGTCCAACAAGAAAGAGTGTGCGAAATCAGGTAAGTATGCAGGCGCGGCCAACGCTAAATTGTTTCAACATCATAGCCATCGAACTGGTTTGGTGACTCCACATGTCTGCTAACAGGGCTGTCTCTGAGGGCCAAGGAAATTGGATTCTTGTCCGGCGTAAACTGTTTTGCATAGTGGCGACAGTGCCATAAGGATAGTGTAGTAATCTGTGGAACACTGCCTGTATAGATGTACACATCCCAAAGTGAGCTCATTCAAGGAGAGGGTATTTCTATAGGCAGCGTAATAAACGTGAAAAATAACGTAATTTGATTTTATGGCGTGATAGTCCGCTAACGAGCGCCGAAACATTGCGAGCTACGCACGCGTGCAATCGCGAAAACACGCCACACGGGCTCTAGAAATCGTTGCTACCACCCCCTGACGTCTGCGCTGCCAGAGCCAACGCAACGGTGTCGAACAACCAATCGAGACGAATTTGGAAACAACAGTGAGATATTTTCAAATCACCTTTATATAAACAACCGCGCCAGTTGAAACTGGGAGGCACTAGAGGGTTTATCTTGTCATAAGTAGTGTGATTATTCATGCCCCACGACTATTTGCTAGGTCTATAACTGTAGAAAATAGCATTTGGATGTCGCAATTGTGAGGCTTATAAAAGTAAATAAAAAACATATAAAATAATTTCAAAAGCAACACACGCACATCCTTCGGACATGGTTCGTAATAAAAGTGTTTCAATTAACAACTAAGAGAATGTGTGGTTTGGTCCTACTGACCTAGTACCGCTTAAGCGACAGGGCTTGAGAATTTTATGAATGTTCGGCATGAAACGGTTAACCATCACTATATTTTGTTTTGGCCTAATCTTATCTCACAAGATATCAAAATGGGGAAAGTGTTAGATAGCAAACTCAGGAATCGGAGCTGGTACTCCTGCAAACGGTCCATCGTACATTCATTGACAATCAACAACAGACTATATGTGTGGTCCGTAATAACTACCAATGTTAAAAAGGAGAGTCTGTTTCACTCACATGAGGGTTCTAGAGTCTAGTTTTCAGTATAAAATATGAGGGCAAGTTAAAGATTACAGCCTACAGATAAAAGTTTCATGTTCAATCACCATTAGAACATATTATTGAAAAAAATGTTTTATAAGAACATAACGCACTTCTCGGATAAGTTTGACTGGCTAACACCACGACAGAACTATGAGTCGTTGCTGCAAACGACACTTTCAGCCACAGGGCTAACAGACCCGATCAGGGTGTTTCTTATTTATTCATTTAAAAGCAAAAGGATTGTAATCTCTTATAAACGACGTATAGTTTCAGTTATAATATGGATAAATTTGCCCTAAAATAAATATCGTTTGGTTAAATAGCATTTAGGTATAAATATAATTGCACTTTTGTGATTAGCCCTCGGTCTGTAACGCAACTTTTTCGGGGTGGCAGCACGGTCGCGGGTGTCATGGCGCCGTTCAAATTTCGTAGCGTTGATGTGTAATTAATTATAACAATTAAATTAGGTATCTGGTAACAAATACGTGTGGGTGTAGACGATTTGTTATACAGTAAGTACAGTTGTATGCAGTAAAATTGTAGAGTCTACTATCTCTTTAAGCAATCAGCCATTCTACAGTCGGTTCAAGGATGGAGAGCATAGTCAGATTGTCACCTATGTCATTTTCGTCAATGTGGGGGAATGGCCCTTTAAAATCGACAGGGGTGTTGTTCAGGGTGTTGTTTATTCATTTTTACCAAGAAACATTATGTTAGTTCATAGAAAGTGTGGAAAAAAACTCCGTTTAAGCGACGCTACTCGGCCGTTTCGGACTGTTTCTCACCATCGCGACGCTCGCGTATTTCAGCGTATTTTAGCAAAATATCCCATTTTTATCCCAAATGCCAAATGGTATAGACAGTAAATTGGTGCTATCAGCCTTCATAGAGGGCATTCAGAATTTTGTGAAGGAATATTTAAGTGTCTAAACAACCGGATCCGGTTTCGGTATCCTGAAAACTAAACAACTAGCTCTCTTCTCTGATTGGCTAATTTTGTCACTATTTCATTTTTTATTATTTTTGGCTAATTTTATTTTATTTTAGAATTAGGGATAGGGTTAGGGTTAGGGTTAGGGTTTGGGTTAGGGTTAGGGTCTAAAGCTCTAACTTTGAAGTTGTTTCAGTGGCTCAACGGTAGAGCTTTCACTTCGTGATAGTAAGGTACCGTGTTCGAACCCCATAAGATGTTTTTATTTTCCTCTGCTTTCTGTATTTCTTTGAATTTTATTTGTTTCTGCATTTATTTATTCCGTATTCATTTATTTAATTGTTCTGTAACTTTTGTTTATGTTTGGAATTAAATATATTTCTTTATGTTTTGCATTAAAAATTGTCCTATTATATATTTGTCCTGGTAGTGTTATGTTCGGAAACTGACCAATCAGAGAAGAGAGCTGGTTGTTTAGTTATCAGGCCTCCGAAACCGGGTCCGGTCGTTTAGACACTACCTTGACACTACCTTTTGTGAAAAGAACTGTGGCCACTCAGTATTACTTCCGTAGGTATTTCAACCCACTGGCACTGTCCTGAGGCTGGTCATGCATTATTGCATATATGTAAAATTGTAATTTACATGCTTACCTGCCTAAATTAATAAATTATATTATTATTAAATACATTCATAATCATATGCTATGTCACGTATAACACATTTGCTAAATCAGTATAACACATGAACAGACCTCATTCTTACCTCGATTTTGCTGATCTACATTTGAAGCATACCACCTACAGTACAGGGGTCAAAATTCAAATGTGACACGCTCTAACTTTTAGTCTTAGTGACACGTACTGACAGTGACAGAGCCTACTGTCATGACAGTTTAACTTTAAATACCCAATGACACTTGTAAATCAGATGCATTAAATAATTGATTCTAACAAGATTAAGAAAATAAGGAGAACTTAAATAAACCAACAACAAGTACTAAACACTTCTATAAAAGAGTAACGTACTTGTTATAGCCAAAATAAGTATTAAGGTTATAAATTGTAGTAGGGAGTGCTGAAAGAACTCATGAGCACGACGAAGATACAAGGGTAAAGCCATTTTCTGTGTACTGCTCTTGTGTTTGTTATTATGGTAAGAGGGCGCTTTGAAATGGCGGGAATACGATTTCTATTTCCAAATATGATACGGCAAATATCTATGCAAATATACATTATATTGCGACGCTGTATTTAGAAACATTTCCCAATTTGTAAGTTACAAACTTATCTTATCTTATCTTACAAACCATTGTGTGAGTGAAGTGATACTGATATACAATGACAGGTAATTCTAAAAAGGTACCACACAACAAGGTCAAGGGGCATCGCCATCAGTATGCCACATACGTGAATCAAAACAGAAATGCATTGGTACGGAAATACCCCTTCCTCCGCCCTGACCAGATCAGGCGCAAGCTGCGACAAATGTGGGAGGCCGAAAAATTACCAAAGGCACTACCTCAACCAACAATCGCCAGCCAGTAAGTTCTGCTATTCACCACGTACAGTGTCAGTAGGAATTATACTGATACGTAACTTATATAGCTGTTTGTGCCAATTACTATTCGGCACAAACGCTATGATTATGAATACAAACTAGTGCATTATTGTCAATAATATTGATACTGATACTGATGCTCATATACTCATATCCATAGGGGGCATTCCTATTTGACAACCCCAGGTTTAAAACCCCTAACCCTAACCCTAACCAAACTCACGACATGGGTGTGTAAACGCTACTTGTACCGCCATAGGGTCTATGTCTCCCAGGGTACTGCTGGAACGTACCCTGGGTACGGTCCGCCGTCCGGTATACCGGAACGTACCCTGGTAACTATCTAGCTGATATGGTTAGGGTTAGGGAGTAGGCGTAGGGGACTCCCTAGACTCGTTAGTGGAGTAGGCGAGCCTGGCGAGGTACGGTCCGGCATATTAGATAGTAGTATTTAGTCCCAGGGTACGTTCCGGTATACCGGACCGTATACGTTCCGGCAGTACCCTGGGGGACATAGACCCTATCAGCAATACTGATAGTGATACTGATAGAACGGACTGACTCTTATGCCTGATTGGGTGATTCATCAGTGATTGCGTGGTTATCTTAAATTCCATTATCATGATTTCATTGTATGATAATCCGTGATCAATCATTCAATCGTGATCGGTTGCGCAAACTTGCGGCAAACTGATCGATGGTTGATGATAATCCATTATAGGCATTACCATTCATGACAATTAAGTGTGCATTAGCTGTGCATAGTGATCAGTAATTGATGATTTAATCCATGAATCATTATGACGTATGATCATTCGATCATCGGCTGTACAAACTGATCGCTGATCGATGATAATCACTACATGTGAGTGTGTATGTGGTCATTGCGTATATATGAACATATCTATACAATAGAGATACTAAAACCTTTTTCATGTTTGCAGTGGAGAAAAAGTTGCTACGTCGAAGAAACCACCAATTAGGAATAAAGCGGCTCTGTCATCGCGTCCCTTGCAGTCCAACAACTTTAGCTATGATGACAGCAGTGATAACAGCAGCGATGTGACCGGTGAAGTGACCAATAAATTGCTGTCCTACAGACAAGCATATAAACCACTTGTGCCTTCAGTATCCTCCTTGCAAAATGACAAGCCGGATGTGCAATCAAGGGGTACAGGACAAGACGTCATTGGTAGAGCAGATATTTTTCCACCAGTGCATATAAACACACGTATGCATTCACCCACAAAATAGTGATAACATTGTTATTATTTTTGTATTATTATTATTGATTTAATTGCGGCACATTGGTAAAAGTGAGATCATGGGCTTGCAAGCTGCTTGCCATCAGTGAAGATGCAAAAAACTCATAGGTACAAAGTACGTGAACTATGGGCTTTCTTACACACTTACACACTTGAATTAATTAATTTTTACAATTTACTTAGACAGATTTTTGGTTGCATATTGTCTACCAATGTTTTCTTTTAGTGTTTTTTTTTCATTTACTTTCTTTACATAAAACACATATTCCTTAAAATTTCAGATGATTTCAAAGAGAATACAGGTAGGAAGAAATACAAGGGTAAAAAATCAGCAAACTCCAACAATGATACGGCGTCTGAAGATGTATGGAAAACCCGAAAGACCTACACACCAGGAAACAATGTTAAACTTGCGCCTCCGATTGTGGTGTCGCAAACAACTATTATGCCACCTGGAATACTGGTTTTAAGGTACAGGTATTAATGTTCATACATAAGGGTTGCTTGTCATACCCCCTGATTGGATCATATAATATTTATGATGTACAATATCCCTGACTTCATTTCCCCTCGGCAAAACTAGAATGTGATATAAGTCAGATTTTTTTTTTTCTACTGTTAAAACCAGCAATAGATATCAGTCAATAATATGTTTTTATACTCTTAAATTGGAATGGCTTAATTATCTTGGGTCGTTCATACTGCAGCTAACCCAGACCATGTCCATCTTTAAGTATTTAGTAGCACTTAATATTTATGTAATTTCATTTAAAAAATGTTTTCATAGTCATTAGTGGTCTTCACAATGCAGTAGCTCGAAATATTGTCATGTACAAGTAACAGTCATTTAAAACCTATATAAGCATGCAGTTATTTAATATTATTTTTTTCTAAACAGTGAAACAAAGGCAAAGCAACCTAAACTTTCATCGAGGGTTAGTTTCTCTGAAGTCACCGAAAGCCTGATCATTTCACAGGATACAGTCGATGCCAGTAGCCAGTCTACGCAATGCAGCAATCAAGAAGATGTTCCTGAAATTCATCGTGAAAGAGACCCTTCTGTTAAGGAAGAGAAGATTATCAAGACAGATGCGAGAGTGACTGTTAGAAGCACGAGAGGTATTAAGAAACTACGAGAGTTGAAGCTGACTGAAGACAAGCTTGGTAGCTGTGCAGCAAGTACACAATTAGAAGAGCAAGAGAATAAACCAGCTAAGGAGACTGCCAGCATGATGTCGAAGTCGCAGCGATCAAAGTCAGCAAGACGAAAGCCGCAGCAAGTAACGTCACGGGTCCGCAAGAAGACAAAGCCAGCACACGAGCAAATGCGATCGGAAGGAGCGAGAGGTCAGACTTCGATGCCGTTCTGCAGTTACGACTTTGACGAAATCAACGCTTCGGAGCTGAACATTGAGACAGAAATGTCATTGAAACAAATGCCCTTTCCTGTTACGGAGACTACTTTCTCTCCTGTTACAGAATTAGCAGATGATGTCATTGACAGTCCAGAGTCGCTAGACGGAAGGTTGTTGGACATAGCCGTGAAACCTAATCTGGTTACATCACATAGACTGGAATCAATACCGACTCGAATGACACAGGCGGTGAAGGAAAAAGGGCAAAAAGAAAACCAAGATCGGCCAGGGAAGGCACGTAACATTCAACCCAAAGTTAGAAGAGATGGCAGAGAGCAGGAACAGCAGGACAAAGTAGATATTGCGGGAGATGCCTCTTCGTTGCTCCCGACACGCAAGCTTAGGTCCAGAAGAGTAGTTGGCAAAGACGAATTAAAAGAGGCCCCAAAAGATTCTTCACCCTCCCTCTCTTGTGCATCAGAAAGCTACGAGCCCTCCACTCTACCCAACACAGGACCAAATGAAGCTGCTATGCAGGATGTACCTGCTTCACTAGCGGTTACCACTCGCCGCGTCATCGGCAGACGTAAAAAACTCGACGGCGACAACCCACAACCGACCGATCGGGGAAAAAACACCACGCACGATGCTTCTCCCGAAAACGCCACAGTGGGCCTCGCGCGAAATGCAGGGAAACCGAGAGAGGATGTCTCGAAACTAGTTCGACTGCCACGCTTCGATGCGCTTGGTTTCCGCCCGGCGAAGTTTCTCACGAGCACGCCCATGCCGGTTGGCAACGTCTGCGGAAGTCCCGGACACATCACCGTATGCGCGGACGTACACGCTAGACACGAGATGTCGCCTCTCAGGCCTGCAGCGGTTGCAAGGAACGCGTCCGGAGATGCGCTGAGCAGGAGAGGGGTACCAAACGGGAGCATAGTGTTCATTCAACCGACTCTGAGTCCCGCGGGCACGCCAGTGAAGGGCAAGAAGGGCCGGTGGAAGGGCAAGCCTCTCAAGAAACGCGCTTCTCCAGTACGCAAGACGGACATTGAAGCTGTGCAGACAAGAAGCGGCGAAAAGCCACCTGTACAGGAAGCTCCATGCGAAAAAGAAGAAGTCACAGGTTTTTCATCGTGTTCTTTATGGAGTAGTAAACCAAGGCTAACTAGATTTGTTTTGTTGTCTATAGTAATATTTATAGTAAGTGCTGCAATTATGAATGATCTTGTTAGATGGCTTTTTGACTTTAGACTCACGTCTTAATGTCAACATGCCTGTGTATTTGAAAGCCAGTCATTCGTAAAAAGTTCAAGCACGCATGCTAACAAACTTGTCAACATGCGTGTGTATTTGAAAGCCAGTCGTTCGTAAAAAGTTCAAGCACGCATGCTAACAAACTTGAATCTTTTATGACCGTGTATTTGTCATGAAAATAGCCAGGTTTCATCGCAGTTTCTGAGGCGTGCTGTACCTGTGGTTAGTTCATGGAGCGATGTTTCAAGCGTTGCCACACATTGTCTTGTTTTGCACGCAAAAGGTGATGCCCCAGTGACGACAAGGTCGAGCGAGTTGGCCTTGAACAGAGCTGTGAACAGAATGAGGGATATCATGGCTTCGTCGCCGCCATTGCTGACATTTGACCTCGAGGATTCCGCATCGCCCAATCTTAGCCACGCAAGTTCAGTGAGTACTCGTACACGAGTCACGACCGACACAACTATAATAATGTATATTGTATGCGCCCTAACTATCAATTGCCGTCTGCTTTGTGTTAGTCAACGTAAGATAAACCCAGCTAAATTCCTAATATCTAGGTGCATCTGAGAAACTTGCCATTAGAAGCATCCAGATATTTGCACGTGCACGTGCGCGCGCACACACACACGCACACGTGTGTGCACCTGATTAGATATGACGTCATCAGTTTATACTTCACTGCGAAACATCGTCCCCTCGTAATTTTCTTTCTTTCTTATAGAATTCAGATGAGTATCTTGTGCAGCTAACAGATGAAATGATCGATGGGGATCATCTTAGCTGCATTGGCACTGTGCCAACACTCTCACCGCCAGAGCCTGAACATACCAAGACAAATGGCCCACAAAAGAAATCTGTGACTGCCAAGTCAGCCCTGACCAGAAGATCAAAGCCTTCAAAGCGAGAAGTGACCCACACAATAGTTAAGGTATGCACGTGTTGTGTACGTAAGGTGGCGGTACGACTAAACTACCGTCTATATACATGACATGGTTGTGCACACATGAACATTTCTTGGAGCTACACATTTTTATGGCAGAGCAGATTTTTTTTCTGTGAATTGGTAATGCTGCTTACTCAAATTTCTTTCTAGTCACTATTTTTAGCTCATCTGACGAAGTCAGATGCAGCTTGTAGAATCGCAGGATCATCCGTGCGTGCGTCGAAACTGGGGGGTCAAAGGTCAAAGGTCAAGCAGTGTAAAAGAAGGGAACATTCCCTCCTTAACTTAAGGTATAGGGAGGAAATGCAGAATTGCGGCACAAATCTAAACGGCTCGACCTAGGCTCGTGATAGTCGGTGTATAGCACCATGGTAGGAAAAGCCATTACTGTGCCGAAATTGGAGGTCACAGGTCAAAGGTCAATCGGGCACAGGGCAAATTTTAGACATTTTCTGAAGACATGGTCTGACGGAGTGATTGAAAAACTTTTTTGTTTCAGCGGTGACCTAGCATTTTTATGGCTTTATTGAAAGGACCATGAAATGTACTTTCTGCTGACATGCAAAGAATAAGTGTCGGATAACCTTTTGACCCTCAAGAGGAGGGTTAAACATGGATTTGTTGACTGTTAACAAAGGACTGAACTGCTTTTGCTATTGTGGATGTGAGGCTACAGTTCAATTGCGAAGGCAAATGTTTGTTTAACAAGGTTTGCGCTCCTTAAATCATATTATTTTCTAAAGCAGTCTGTATTAGCATCCTGAGTAGCAGTCTGTATTAGCACACTGTAATGAACCCTGAATGCTCGCGTGGGTAGGCAAAAACATTGGGGGCAACCCATTACGCATGCATGGGGGTGAACTGGCACTATTCTAATCATAATTATTGCCTGGCAACCTGCAATGCAGATGTGTTAACTTACAGCTGAGCGAAATTCTCGCCTGCCTGAATATACTTGGATTTTAGCAACTCAATGGAGTGAGGTTATCACGCACGAAGGGTGATGCCATCTTTGATTATTGATGACACTTGCACGCGCCATCTCGCGGCAACTGCTTTTGCTATTAGAGCCTCCTCCACCCGCCCTCTCCCCCCCACCACCACCACTACGGTCGCGCTTGACGCATATCCATGATAACATGTTAATATATCAAAGTCATTAAAGTTACACAGCTGTATCTTTATTACTGTACTACCGGTATAGCAAAGCCTAGCTATCATAGATTTTAGATCTGTATTAGTAGTATCGAGAGAGGCTCTGAGCGCGAACGCGGTGATGGGAGGGTGTTCTTCATTCGTTTGCCAGTGAGTTTAGCATCAGAACACCTGCCGTCAGGTGAGCGCTGTCGCTCTGCGGCACTTGTTAATTTAGAGAGAATGAGTTTTTTAGTATTTCAGTACAGGCTCACACTTTTCCTTATTCTGCTTGGTTTACTTGTGAAGTGATTCCAAGTCAAAGCTATCGGTTATGCATATTGTTTTTGTTTTTCATAATTTTATTGCATTCTTTATCATAATGTCTATTTCCACCATCACTATACTATATGGTTATATTTTATGACCTCCGCCAAGGAGGTTATGTGTTTACCCTTGTTCATTTGTTTGTTGGTTTGTTTGTCTGTCAACAGGATATCTCAAAAAGTTACAGACAGATTTTGATGATATTTTTTGGACGGTTTTAACCAATCGATTAGATTTTGGTGGTGATCCGGATCCAGGATTTTTTTGTGGGGAAGACTTCGGATGCATTAAAAATTCATTAAAAAAAATCCTGGATCTCTTTTTTTCTAATTTCTGAAAATGTCATCAAAGTATTGGGTGTACCAGCAAGATGGGGGGACTGTTACGCTGTGGCGGAGGTTTGCTATCTCCGATTGCTCTTATTTTCATTGTTTTCATCATGATCATTGTCAGCAGCAGCAGCAGCAGAAGAAGAAGCAGCAGCAGCAGCAACAACAACAGCAACAGAGGATGAGTAATCCTAACAAAGAGATGCGCATTGAGGATATGTTTGACCTACCAGATGACAAAGCAGTCTACAAAACCCGTGGTTACAAGCGACGACAGTACGTATTGCCTAAAATTAAGGCATCTTTTGTCTATTTGGAAGTACTTAAAGTGCTATTACATGCAAAAATCTTTATAGATAATAATTAATTATAAATATAATTCAAATATCTTCTAAATTCATAGGAAGATTATTGGATTGCCAGTAATGTATGAATGAAAAGCAATGGATCTTCAAAATTGAATAAGATTACATAGACCGAGATATCTTTAGTAATGAATTGTGTATCATTCTCTTTAGGGTGTTAAGCACACAACCGACAAAGAAACGGGCAGAGGATGGGCACGATACGTGGATATAGGTCAAGGAAATGTGAAAGCTGCATTACAATAGGCAAACAAATGGCTGTTATTCAAACGAATCGTTTCCATTTGTTGTCAATGGTCCTCCATGGACCACCGATCTATGGCTTAACTGAAGTGTTATTTGCAAGGGATACACGTGAGTTGTAAAGTCCAGTTGCATTCGCTTGTGTTTCTAACTATCTGAACCAGTGAATGCCATTTGGAATATTTCTAGGCTGTGTGAAAGTGTTAGCAGGAGTCATGTGTGCATTACTGTCATGAGACGTGTCAACTTGTATCGATGTTGTATAGTATCATAGATTATTATAATATAGTATGAATCTTAGCACTTTTCGTACATGTCCAGGATGATCGATGAATGGATGGTCCAATGCAAATCGCAATTATTAAGACAGCATTGCCAAACTTGGCATGAGTGTGTGTTTCAGCCTATATGTGGGCCAGTCAGATCATAGTCTTATTAGCTACCACCAGAGGGGGCTGTTCGTTTGGTAACCTCGTGAGCACAATTTAATGAAGAAGCTCTTACACAAACCATCTGCAACCACTAATGAATGTTAGTACAGAGGTCTGAAAATACTAAAATTTTAAATATTATTTAGGATCTAAAAAGCACCTATTCATTTTCGATCACTGATCCAAGTTGGTAACCAGGAATGATTTAGATTGTAGCATCTTTTCCTGTGTAATACCGTCTGTCATGAGTTACATCAGTTCATTATCAACCATATTTGCAAAATAACCATGTAGTCAAAGTTGTTTGTACTGTTAGTTATAGTATATATTACGAATGCCCTAATCGTACAAATTAAATTTACGCGTGTCTTCCCAAGACCATTATTTTGTAGCACTATGACTCGTTGTTCACTTATATGTTGTATACTAGTTTAGCTTTAGTAACAAGAAATTGTTATGGCATAGCATTTCACTTTGCATATTCAATTATGTTGCCTTAGGCAATATACTGGTGATTATTATTCTATTATACTTTACTGTGCTTCTTATGGATTTCTGATTTGTTTGAATTATTTTTTTTTATCTCTAGCAATCAAGCTGTACCAATTTGTTATAATGAAGTAGAACAGCATAATATTTAACAATACCCTTTTTTTACCTAATGCACAGCAAAATTGCTTAGTGTACATTAATTTTTTATTGAATATTATTATAAACCTATCTATCTACCTTGCTTATAAAATCAACACACACTGTACACATTAGTTGTCTTCTAAATGAAATTGCATGTGCCAGAAAATGTTTATATTGTACGAAATTTAGCAGTAGTCTTATTGCATAAACCCAGGAATTCTGTGATACATCTTGTTGGTGTGAAACGTCTGAATTAAGTATTTCCGACAATCCAATGCGACTATTGTAATAATACAGCAGTGACTGATATGAAATAAAGTGAAGTACACGGAGTAGATTGACTTAGTGATAATGGCCACATGGGAGCACGTTGAACGGTTGTCGATCGTTGAAGCTTTCCTTCGTTACTCATCATATCACGTAAACATTGGATCTATAATTACAGACCAACTATGACGACTATTCCACTACAGTGCCCATTGACACAGCGAATCCTGACACCAGCGCCAGAATCTTTGTCGACTGTGGAATGACACCACATTGGTCTTAACATTGAATCTTTCTCATAGACTATTGATAGAAACATGGTGAATTTACGATTGTCTCATACGCAATGTGTACAGATCCCATCTACGAGAAAAAGTTCATGCTAAGGCTAATTTTGTTTCTGCAAATGCGCCCGTTGTTACTAGACCCAAGTTTGCTCCGTGTAATGAGTATAATCTCCAGCTCAGTGGTGTCATGCATGAGAAACAATTATAGAAATATCACCTACATGTGAATTTCATGTGGAATGAGCACGACATCACAAAATCAGGACCTGGTTCTCAGTGCCTAACTGTACAACATAAAAGTTTGCCTGTACACACATAACCACACTACAAGACTTCAACTTTCACTCTGCTGGGTTAACTAATCACCTGACGTAGTTAGAATTTTGACAGCTCCCTTTCGTATAGAACCCATCTAGCCATGGATATAACATAGATACATTCTCTTTCATCCGTTATCGAACTAAACAAGCATAAACAATAAGAATACTGTGCCAGCGTGTATTCTATACATTTCGTACAATCTCAGACTATCTCACTCTCGAGCTTAGAGGACTCTCGCAATAATTTAATGTACCAGCAACATTTCACTTCAAAACGTAATCTACCTGTACATTATTGATCAATGCATTCAGCAGCTCTATGCTCAAAACAAAGTGAATAGATGGCTGTGGCGTATCCAGCATAGGGCGGAGCCGGCGTACGCCCCCCCCCCGTTTGCAGGCCCAGAAAAAATAAATAATGAAGTGTTTCAAATCCTAAATTGTAGTGTTGAGTCTAGGATTGAGATAGTGTCATCAGACATCAGAATATGACCCACAGTATGCCTCAGATGGCAGGAAAATGGCTTAAATATTTCAAAATTTCCAGGGGGAGCATGCCCCCAGACCCGCCTAGCGCTGCCGTGCCCCCAGCACGCGGGGTTGCCTTCGGCAGCCCAGGTACATTTTGCTGCCCTGTTCGTCCATATCTGGATACGCCACTGGATGGTGTAGTTTCACTGCTGAACCCCTTTACTCACTACACGTAAAATCAGTGTGAATTATGAGATAAACACCATCGCAGCCACTTTATTTCTTTGTTGTTCCAAATCCAGAGAATCCCATTAAAGAAGCCATGTCCGGATCGAGGCTTTGCTCAATCGAATCGTCCGCCTTTCTCTTTCGATCTTTTCTCTTCTCCCTCTTGTACTGCTTCTGTTTCTCCTCCTAGAATGTTGCGCAGTTTGAAGTAAAAATTACCAGGTAAATCGAATAAAATACCATTCGTACATTTTTTACGGAGAACAGATGGTACCTTACAGTTTTAAATAGAAAGGCAACTAGTTGATTACCATTCCTATATCTTCTATCAACCGAATGTGTTTATTTAATCATGCAAACCCACTTGTATTATTGAATTATGAAAAAAAAATTATTTAGGCAGCAATAAATGTCATCCATGCCCCAGTGCTGTTATTTTCTCCACGACAGACTACTCACTTCTTCACGCAGTTCCTGTATTCGCTGCTCGAAATCGTAGTCCTTCTTTTTCTCTTCCATTTTCTTCTTGTTCAACTCAAATCGTTTCTTCACCTGATCAAGAGTTGATCGCTCTACTTTCATTGACATGCCCAGATTACGCTGATCTGTGAAATAAACCGAACAATCTGAACATTGAATATTAACCAAATGAACACTGAAGTACCATGTACTGTAGTTTTTTTCCTTTTTTTCCACAGGCCATGTGTTTCATGTTTTTTGTATGATTATTCCTGCACCAACCCATAGCTCGGCAGAGGTCGTGTTAATTATTATAATAATTGTTAATATATACATATATATCAGGAGCTAATAATGACAAATTTTTGTCATTATTAGCTCCTGATATATATATATATACACATCTGCTGTGTTTTAGCTGGTAATAAATTTCTTGTACATACGTTTTTTTCCATTGATGTGGTCAAGGAAGTTTATGGAATCTTTCACTATGCAGTCACAGACATTGCAGTAATACCTAAAACAAGTGTGGAATACAATCAGATAGATGTTTTGCAACTTTCACCTAAAAACAACATTAAATAATAATTTTTACAAGCTTACACTACATGAGCTTACAATACTGATAATGAAAACCACAGTCAATGATATTATCTTTGTCAACTCTAGCTTTGCTACACGTTTTGCATGATTGTTTATAACATTTTGTTTCAAATACTGTAATATAAAACAGTAAGCTCTGCAGAAACTAATAAATAACAACACAAAAATTAAGCACATTGAAGCATAACTGCTATGAAATTGGAAATTTGTGTATGACTAGAGAGATGCCTTACCCGCCCTGACATGCTGCTGGTGTTGTCTTTGTAATAACTTGACTTTTTCCAAGTTTAGACTCAAGATCAACCTAGATGATAGTATGAGAATATATACGAAAACCTTGTAAAAGTAGGTCTAGATTGGTTAAATTTGTTTTTAAGATCATGAAATGACATGGTACATAATCTAACTTGAAACTCGTATTTGCATTTGTGTGGTAGAATAATGTCAGACTCGTAAACATCAGTTGAGTCATTCGTCTTAATCGTCAACCACAACCCACACAAGGCAAGTGGAGCCTCCGCCTACACACATAAGGGTAGAGGCAAAAGCCTTTCTACAATAATAAGAAAATACACCTACATATTTATATTTGAACTGATTGCTAGGGATGGAATTATCATACACAAACAACCATATCTGAAGTGGAGGATATATATTTTTGACCAGATTTCTTATACTGACATAAAATTGTACGTTTTTGATATTGATACATCTTTTACTAAATTGTACCTTGTCACACGACTTCACATACTGGGACAAGATGGTCTCTTCTGGATTACTCCCTATATATCAATAATTAACATCATAATATCTATTATAACTACATATAATTAACTAATTAAACAGATTAATAATTACTTTATAGTCTCGCTGCTTTAGCAACTCCCTCTTGACAGGCATCTCCTTTGACTGAATGCCGAGAGCCATTCTTTGCTCCTCTTCGATCCGCTCCTTTGCAAGGGATTCATAGTGATCTTTGTCCCACTTCTTCCTGTGATCTTCTACTTTCTGTGGGGAAAAGGTTTATCATAGTTGTAGCCTCTGGGGGAAAGAGGGCAGGTGTCCCCTTAGATTTTGGAGCAAAATAGAAAATAATGGAACAAAATGACAATTACAAAAACACAATTATCCCTTCAGCATAACTCTATCTTACATGTGAGCTATTTCTTGGAAAATTTGCCCTCTCCTCCCCTTAAAAATTTGCTGTGCCTATCGCGCTGAATAACATCCATACTAATGTTGCCATGACTACAGTCAAGAGTTTAAGTTAAATGTGGGATCCAACCAAAAAGGTAACCATGTAGGAAAACACAGTCAATTTCATAGGCAACCGTAGTGGTAGAGTGTTAGGTTAGGGTGCGTTATTTGGATGGATCGCTGTTTACAATCACACGCATCAACACATTATGCACGTTTGTTTCTTATACGATTGTATCAACATTAATTATTGACTCTGCTGGCGAAGATGGATTTTAGCAGATCTAATACGGTAGCATGGAAAATCCTAATAATCCTTTATCATCACCCGCTGCTAGTTATGAACTATCCTGCGATAAGGACAAGTGACACAACTGACAGGTCAACCATCTGAGAAACATCTGCATTCTTAAAGGGAATAGGAGCAAGCAATCACAATCAGACTGATCAAAAACAAACTCATCCATAGATATTTGGGTTAAGTTTGGTATGGCGACTTTGCTGGGAGATTTTACATTTGTCAAATACCATCATTTATTTAGAATACAGTCAGTCGCTATAATACAATAGTGTATTGTTGACGACACGAAGAGATAGACAGAGTGCTAAATGAATGCATAATTATTCAATATTGTAAACAATGGCTGCAGATATCAAACACGAGGAAGATATTCATCGCATGCCATGATCAGTGATGCCTGATGGATGACAAAAACAGTGTCAGTGACGCTGAGAGGGTCTATGTCCCCCAGGGTACTGCCAGAACGTACCCTGGGTACGGTCCGGTATACCGGAACGTACACTGGTACTATCTAATATGCCGGACCGTACCTCGCCTACTCCACTAACGAGTCCAGAGAGACGGGGTACAAGATGGCGTTGCGCAAAAGATGCGTTATTCCCCGACCGCCGAGAGCGGTTAAGCCGCGCACTTCCGCGGGACTGGGCGCACGCGACCGCGGGTGTTGTATGTAGCATCTCGCGCTGCCCGCTATACGAATTCGCGCGCCGAAGGAGGGCGGGCGCGCGAATCCGTATAGCGGGAAGCGTAACATCGCACAGTTTTCGTGAGACGTACACCGGCTTGACTACGGCGGCCTTGGGGGAGGGCATTTCCTGCTGCTGCTGCTTTGCTGCTCCAGAGCCGCGTTGCAGCAGCTAGCAGGGACCAGGGGGCCGTTGTCAGAAACAAAATTAGTTGCAACATTAGTCTTACCATTAACTTCCACTCGTAAACCGTTGACAGAAACATCGTAATGTTACGAGAACGAAAAATCCTCGCAAATGGCATTTGTTCTCTTGTTTGAAATGCTTGCCACGCTTGCCACGACTCTCGCGTCTCGCGTTACAGTGTGAGAAT